CCCGTTCCAACCGAACCGGTTGGAACGGGGCGGGAAACCCACCCCTGGTTCCATCCAAACACCCCAACTTTATCCGGAATTAAGGGATTACAGGGTCATAAAAAGGCAGGTTTTTTTAAAGCAGTCATTCAATGGGATGATTGTATTGGTTTATATAAATGAAGTATGCATATGTATGTTGCCTTCACTGATATTCCATGTTACATTTTTTTTAAAGAACTTCATTTTATAGATTTGTCATGAGTAATTTTTAAGGGAATTTTTCATTAAAACATTCCCTACATGCAAGACTACAGTTACATAGCTACCTGTTCTGACCCCCCCTCATCCGTCGAGACAAAGATACTGCAAGGATTTATTAACACACAGACAGGACCTTGGCAGCAAGCCAGTACAGACAAGACGTTGGCAGCAATTCAGCACAGACTAACCTTGGCAGCAAGCCAGTCTTCCAAGATAGCCACAAGAGTTCTCCAACTTTAGTGAATACATTGACTCCTACAAAGGGCGTGTGCACATTCATTTCTTTTATAGTCTTGAGAGGAGCCTGATTACCACCAGCTAAGTGCAATTATCTCCTGTAACTGTGTAACTGCTCCTTCCGCCTATTAGCTCTTCGTTGCCGGGCATCCAGGAACAACTCCCTTGTCTCCTCCCCACTGGTCCAAGGCTCAGGCGCCTCCTGGTGGCCAACCAGCCTCTCTGCGCCCTGCTCGGAGTTGGAACCTTGTCCAGGATCCTCCACATCCTCCAAACCGACTCATAGGGCCCCTCGCTGTCGGAGTCTGGTGGCAGCTCCAACGGCTCCTGCTGGGCCACAACCGCTACCCTTCAGGTTCAGGATTGGCACAAAACTGTATTAAATATGATATTTCGGGACATTGGCTAGAAAAAATATCCTTTTTTTCCCCTACACCTGGGATCAAGAGTAAGAGGGCTAAGAATCTCCCAGCTGGGCAGACTGAGAGACTCAGAAGGCCTTAGCCTGACTAATGGCAGGCTATTATTATTATTATCATTTATTGGGCAACTTTGGTAGAAAGGTTTAAAATTATCCAACTTCCTGATTTGTAGATACAGATATATTTCTTATGAAGTAGGAATTGGTAGGATTGAAGATTGGTAAAATGGAAATTATCTGTGTCCTAGAGCAGTGTTTCTCAAGTGTTTCTTATACTGGTACATTCCTTGGATATTACTGTATATGCTTTACTTGACCACCAGGAGGCAGTGTACAACATGTTTTGTCCTGCTGCACACCAGCAATTATACATTTTTCCATTTTTTTTCTTTCAGAAATCCATTGCAGGGAAAAGAGCCTTCTTTGTGATTGGCTTGTCAGCATTTTCTCTTTTAAGCTGCAAACGTTTTGGCTTTCCAGGATCTGGAGGACTCTGTGTCATTGTTTTGTCATTTCTCGCTGGAATGGGGTGGTCTAATGAAAAGGTGAGAATTCTCTTACCACACATCAAAGTCCCAATTCTGATTCTGGAAAATAGATACTTTACTTGCCAGTAATTTTTAACACAAATGATCAGTCTCAGTTTTGGACAAAGGTAGGTAATGTGATGCCCATGGGTATCAGTGTGGGGATCAAGGTATAGTTCTTCAGATTCTTGCAGTTAAAAAACTGAATGGAAGTTGACAGTTTCCTAGTAGTGTGCCAACCCAATATTTCTAGGAATCCCTTTGGGGCTCATGTAGGAGTTATAGTTATACTGAGAAAATAATCGTGGTAAGTGGCCTAGCCCACTGCTTTGTGGTGATGGGGACAGAAAAAAAAGATAAAGTATCCTGGTATACATCACATCCTGGAGGTTGTAAAGAGCAAATTTACAGTTTGCCTTCTAGTGATTGGCCATGCATGTGATTGGCCATGCCTTTTGTGAGAGCAAATCTTCCAAATGTGTGTACACTCCAAAAGTTGGGGTTAAAACAAAGTTGCCTTTTTCTTATTTAACTTGTAGCAGGTAAAACCTGGGCACATAAATGCCTCAGTCTAAATGACATAGAGCACACAAATAATTTTGTTAAGCCAACTTTATTGGTTACATTATAGCGAGGCATCACACACACCATTCTAACTCATTCTCCAAGTTTTACCAGAATAGCTGTTCAGTCTAGGGACTGGAAAAGATTAATTGAAGACCAGGCTAATTTGAAGGTAGATAAATTTAATGACAACAGCGAAAGACTTAAAAACCAAGTTAACAGAAAATCATTTGCAGAAAGTCTATCCATATAATTACTAGGAAGTGGCACATGATTTGATAGCAATCAAACAATTTCTCTTTTTACTGATTTAGACCAAATAGGTACTGTCAGTTTATTTCATGACACGCACACACATTTTATTCATGATCTTATTTAATCTTTAAACAATTTCAGCATTGTTTTATTTCAATTGATAATGAATGGCAGGTCAGGTAACAGTTATAAGTTTTTTTTTCCTAATTACATATAGTGTCCTTATGGTCCATAGCGATGTTTGGTATTTGTTTGCTACCATGACAACTGACCAAAAATGTAACTAAAGCAGAAACTTACCTGGTGTTTTTTTTTAAAACAAGAGAACACAGAAGAATAGTCCAAATCCATTCCAGGATTCTGAGAACCATGTCAGGACAGTTTAGAAATCAGAGCTTCAAGATTTCTTATACCCTACCCAAATAGGATTTACCGGAACATTACACAAAAGACTCCCCCTTATCCCCATGTAAACAGTTGAAACCATTTGCTATAATAAGGCAACATAGTTTTTTTTTTTTGTAGAAGTGAGGTTTTATTTATTTATTCAGTTTCTGTAGTTGCACAACTCAACTAAATGACTTATAATTCTAAAATTATAAAACAATTCAAAAAATATCAAACCAATAAAAATAGCCACAAAATAAATAAGTTCAAATAGTAGCTCTAATGATCAATAAACTAATCGTAAAGCCAAGTATCTGGGCCCTTAATACATTCTGAGCCCCAGGCACAGGTACATAACCAAGTTTTTAAGCTTTGCAAAAAGCCAACAGGGTTGGGAACCATTCTAATCTTCAAGAGCAGAATATTACATAAAGCAGGGGCTACAGCACTGGCTGGCTGGGCTGGTTGATGCAGATGAAATCATTTGTTAAAATTGGAGAATTCCAAATTGAAGAGATGAAATGTATTTAATTAAAAATTGATATATAGACAAAGGCAATTTATTTCAAACATAATAACTTACTTTGGCCTATGAGATATTGAAATATTTTTTCTAGTGCTACATTTTTAATATTCTTGTTAATTACCATAATGGTTTCTTTTAAGTCCTTGAAAGATGATGGTACTTCTTCATAATTAATGGCAGAATCCAATTTCTAGCATTAGAAAAAGGAAAGTGGCATCTTGCTTGGACAAATCAAATTTAAGATATGCCATTTTTCTGCACAAGTACTATCAACACGTATTGGTGTAAAACTGTTTTTTTGTTATATCTTATAGAAAGCAGTGCAAGATATTGTTACTTTTGCATGGCAAGTGTCCCAACCATTTCTATTTGGACTAATTGGAGCTGAAATCTCTGTTTCTTCCATTGGATTAAATACTGTTGGTAAGTTTGCATACAAGAGGTATAGCATTTCTAAAGATTGTGCCTGGCTTCCTTATAAGAACAAGAATCTTAGTCAGAATTGATTGCATTCATAGAACACAATGGGTCATGAACCATGATTTAAAATTATATTATGATTTATAGCAATATATTGTATAAACTGGCAGTTGAGTGCCCTTTCCAAACCAGAACATGCTTATGTTTCTCCATGCAGAAAATTTAATTTTTTTTTAAATCCAGAACATTTTTATTTATTTTTAATTCTTTTACATACCATTTTAAGTATACATTCACATAATTATTTTTCTTCTTTACATTTATCATTCTTATACATTTGTTATTCCATTTTATAGGTTATAATATACGTATACAGTTTGGGTTGCATTGTTTACCATCCCTTCCTCCTGTTGTAACGTCACCTTATTTCCCCTTTCTTTTCTCCCTCCCCCTCTTCTCTACTTTCCTCCTTCCTCCTCTCCCTTCCTTCTTCCCTTACCTCTCCCTTACTCCTACTCTTCCTCTTCCCCTACTTACCCTCTCTCCTTATCTTTCTCTCCCTACCATCCTCCTCTCCTTACCTCTTTCTT